GTTACTGTTACTAACAAGAAAATGCCGTGCGGTCACGTTACTATTTTTCAACAAGCAGACGGTTGAAGCTGTCTTCAGCTTACTGCATCAGTTGCACGGAAGTAGCTGTAAGTAATCTGGGTGCTACAGCTTTAAGCAGCTGCGTGAGCTCCCGCGGACGGCAATCACTTTCTGGTAGATGATCACTTTTTGGCACAACACCTGGGGCAAAACAATCGCATGAGTGCTGCTGTTTGACTGAGGAAGAATAAAGTAGTCGTGGTAAGCCAATCACATGACCACTTTAAGATGACAAAGCAACAAGTTGATATATACCAGTTTTTAATTGTGTTGATAGGCCACGTAAAACCAGAGTCATGATAAACAATATATACGCCTGTTTTTCCTCAATAGTTTCGTCATGTTTACTGTCTAAGGACAGCGCTAGCAAGCACTCTCTGCTTATGAGCAAAAAAAACCAAAAAACAAAACAAAACAAAACCCCGCCCTTTCGTGTTGGTGGAAAAATGCACCACGTCAACCAATCAAAAAATGATATGGCGACATGACATTTGGTTGTTTAGGAAGAGGGGGAAGTTTTAGGACTGACAGCGAGAGACAGAGAGAGAGACAGCAGAAAAAGAGAGAGAGAGCGAGTTTTGAGATGTGAGAGATTTGTGATGTTTAGTGTGTTTGGAGTGTGTAGTTAATGTGTTGTGTTGTGTAGTTAGTGTTGTGGATAGTTTTGTGTTGTGTGTCCGAACAATGAGGCGACTGCTGTCTCCAGGTAGAAACAGGAGTGATACACCTGCTGCTGTCAGACCTGCAGGTATCAGACTGTGATGTTCTCCTTTATAGTGGACAGAAATATTTGGAGTGGCACAAATAATTTGTGTGACATCTTATTGAATGCAGAACAGCTGATTGTTCTGTAAATAGTTTGAAATGGTTATAAAAAAGGGGTAAAAGGTAAATGGCTGCAAAAACTTTGTTGTTTGCAAAACTTTTGCATATAATTTTAAAATTGTCAATTAATATTTGCATTTAAAGTTATGAAATGTGATTCATTGAACATATTTGTGGTTGTTACAGTAAAAAATAACTTTTTTCTAATTGGATTTTATGTTTTTTGTCTGATTTTAGATCAATTGTGTTAATACAGTATGTCAAAATAAAAACATAACTGTAAATTCAGACACGTGAGGTTGTGCTGAAAACAATGATACCAAATAAGGCAAAGTAAATAGTTTTTAAAGGTGAAATGTAGAGGAAACATCAAAAGTGGTTAAAATGGCCAATTATACCCTGGACCCCAGAGGGTTAAACATTTTTTTTTAAAGTAACACCATAGTTACTTTTCAAGTAATTAATTATTTTTAGAATCTTGTAACTCAGTTACTAACTCAGTTACTTTTTTGAAGAAGTAATTTATTACTTTTTCAAAGTAACTTGCCCAACACTGCCCAAGGTTAACTGGTGACTTTAAATAGGCCATAGGTGTGAATCTGAGGGTGAATGGTCTGGTTTACCCCTGCAAAAGCACAGAAACCTATCCAGAGTGTACCGTGACTCTTGCCCACAGCTGGGAGACAGCTGGGACTGGCTTCAGCCCTACTGTGATTCCTCCTTGCCATTGGGAGACTTCTAATCAGTCACAAATTCGCGAGATGTCCCTTAACATACAGCCACAGTCTTTACAAATTACCGTCAGTGGCATGAGCTCTAAAGTCAGCATCACAGAGTTAATGATGTTCTTCAAGATGCTCGTTTTGAAGAAACAAGAAAGCATGGCTACATCCAGCTGTCGTTTTAGCATGACTGATCCGAACTGAGCAAAGATGCAATTAAGGGCCTGGGTTACTACTTTTTTTTAATTCACTGACTAATTTGCTCATTTTGTGCAAGCAGAGGTTGCAAAATATTTTTTTACGGTTCTTATTATTTACCTTTAAAGTAAATCTATTATTCACAGCAGGAGCATAATTATTTTGCAAAGCAGCACAGATCTCACTTTGAATCAGTCAGGACTGCTATAATCAGAACAGGCCAGAGCAGACTCCACACTCCTTGATCTGAGGCAAAGGAGCTATCAATCAGCCTGCATAGATAGGTATTCTCTTTAATCCAATCAGATGGCATAATCAAGCACAATGCCTGTGATTTCTGCCAGCCTTGTGAGATTTGTTCCAATTGAGCGGTCTGTCAGAGAGGCTTTGATTGCATTTGGAGCTCAGGCTGATTTCTGAGACGAGGCATAAAGTGATGTTTTCTATCTGCACCCTTTGGAGATTTATAGTCACAATAGCCTCGAGTTCTGCTGTTGAAAGAGTGAGATAAAATTTGCTTATTTCAAAAGGGTCCAATTTTCAACTGCTCATGTTCAAGTTATTGTTCACCTCTAGTGTTCGCCTTTTTCCACAACCCACCTAGAGTATGATCTATAATTGACTTCCTGAATGAGAGATGAGTTTCAAATAAAAGGCGACTCGTGTGTCTGTAGTGAGTAAATGCTACAGAACCATCAAATTCACAGAATTGTCATAGTAATCCCACTATTTATGTACCATTATTCACAGCTTCATATAGATGTTTGCTTGCACCAACTCTTGACATCTTACCAATTAAGCTGATGCCATAGTGAAGTGTCACGTTACTGTGATGGTGCAAAGTACAGTGGTGCAGCAGTCTAATTTGAAAAATTAACTCTTTTCCAACATGTTTTTGCGCACCTGGCTTTTCTTTTGAATCCCTGCTGAGAACGATTTGGGAACAACAAGCAGTGACGACCACCTGGTTACTTCCACTGACAACAAAACAACATGAGGTACTAAACCTTGGCCTACTATTTGTCCTTTGAACATCAAAACTCATCTTCACCCACTCACTTGCACACATACTTACAAAGTAAAAATATAGCTGAAGTTGTCTAAATTCTGTTACTTTTTTATTTAATGTTTCTATGTTAATCAGCCCTTCAAAGAGCTTTTGTGCATTTATTTGTGTATATGAGTTGTAATTTGCCATGTTAATGCCTCAGATTGCAACCCTACCATTTCTAGGCTGCAATTGCTAAGAATAAATTATTTAATGCCAGAGAAAGATTTAAAATGGCACAATCAGATGCACTTTTTTAAAATGGCACCAGAAAATTACAAGGCAACAGAAGCCACATTGTGATGTTCTATTTTTTTTAAGTATTTGCTTTTTTGCAGATGGGAATAAAATTGTGGGAAATATTCTTTCTTTTGTATAAATCGGATTGCAACATATCAACTTGATGCTTTTGTATTACAACGAAGTGTAGTCTGCCGTGGTCTCATCCTGACTAAAGCTCTCAGAAAGACAGCATATTAATACTGTATTTTCAAAATGTGGCTCTAAAACAACATCTGCTTATTTCTTTCACGAGCCCCCTGCAACTCACTTTCTTCATCGGTGAATAGAAGCTCTGGGTGAGCTAGCGTAGCATCTGTTTTGGCCATGGTGCAGATATTTTTTGGAGCTCACTACTATTACTAGTGCATGCCCATGCTACAGTATTGTTTGGCGTCTCTGTGTTTCTGGTATAACTACACATAGACAAAAGTAAAAACGCACTTGGTTGCCAGCTAACATGACGGCATCTTAAGATATTATGCATAATTCAACTTTTGCCAGTATAAATTTGTGTTGTTGTAAAATTGAAATAATAAAATGCTTTTATAAGGTGATATCGGAGCATAACTGCTAAAATGGGTCGCTTTAGTCTATTGATAGGTGGTTGCTAGGCAACATGATGACAATAATATTTGGTATAAAAAGGAACCTTCAGGGGCCTAAGATGTATCTATGTGCCAAGTGTGGTTGCTCAACTCCTGATCATCTCGGGAAAAATGGGTCATGTTAGCACATTGCTACACGGTTGTGTCGTGGTCCCTGGGATTTGGAGCCTTGTTTTCAATTTTTCGATTAGTTCTTCATTGTTAGTGGTTTTGTGATTTATGTTCAACTTTTGTTCCCTCTGAAATTTAGCACTATGATTTATTTAGTGTATATGGTGTTATTTATTATTTCCTTTCCAGTGGTCTGTTTGCATTTTACTTATTATTTGATGTTCATTATTTTAGGTTTTCCTTGGGCTGGGCTTCTGTATAGGTGTAGGGTGTGTGTAGGGTTATAATTTTTTGTGGTTTAATTACTAGCTCTGTTCTTTGAGTCTTCTGTTCTTAGTTTGGTTACATTCAGGTTATCCTTTAGTAAGTTCCTGTATTATGGATTAGCATTAAATGCTCATTTTGCTTCCCATGCTTTGCATTTGGGTCGACAACAAACAGCTTTCACAGCCGAGTTATGATGGGTTGCCATTCAACATGAAGATGTCATAATATCTCATGTAAATAAGAACATTCCCAAGATGTCCCTGTATGCCAAGTTTGGCTTATTTAACTCCTGATTGGTTTGGCAAAATTGGTTAATTTTAGCTCACTGCTAGTTGGTTGCTAGGCACATGATCTCATCATAAAGTCTAACATAGATAAGAACCTTTGGGGGCTTAGGATGTGCCTGTGTGGCATGTTTGGCTTATTTAACTCCTGATTGGTTTGGCAAAATTGGTTAATTTTAGCTCACTGCTAGTTGGTTGCTAGGCAACATGATCTCATCATAAAGTCTGACATAGATAGGAACCTATGTGCCTAGTTTGATTGCTCAACTCCTTATCATATAAGACGAGCTGACAGCCAAGAAAACACGCAAGATTAACATCCTAATACTGCATTTTCTTTGAGGATTATGCATACCTGTTGCAGCCCCAGACTCATTAGTTTTAGCTGTTAAATGATGGCTTCAGTGTATAACTTGGTAAAAGACAAAAACATCATGACTAAATAAAGCTGCCACTGTGGAATAAAAATGGGAATACACAGGGAAGGATCCAGCACACTGGGAGCAAGGCAGCATGCATGCACATGAGCGCACACACAGACACTCACACAATCATAAGCACACAGAGATAAACAGGTTGCGTGAAGGTGATACTGTACCTTGATTTATTTCGGGGTAGGAGATGGTGGTGGTGATGATGGTGGTGGTGGTGGTGGCTGTGGTGGATTTAGGGGTAGTGGTGGGAGCATCTGGATGAGGGGACAAATACATGACAAACAAAAGCGGGGAAACAAATAAGTATAAAAGCCATGAAGATAAAATAAAGTCACTGTGAACACTACTGATAGTATCTCGGGCCAGCAGCTCTTTGTGTGCCACCGTGTGTGGGTGATTTAAAGGTCTGCGGCAGACTTTCTGATAAATTAGCTGGATCGCAGTGCATTAAATATGTTGACACAATGATGATACTTCAACAGATCATCTCGTCCCACCCGAATGAGATGATCAAAGATCTTGTTGGGAACTCTTCTCTTTTATGTCTATTCACAGGCATTACACCATGACATGAAAGATAGCAAGCACATGTTTGTTAGAAGTGATTAAATGTCTAATGAGTAACAAGTGCTGGGGTTGTACTTATGCTGTCATTGTTATGCAGTGAGGAGTTTTGACAAATAAATATGCCTGTGCATTCTTAATTTCTCAGAGGAGAAGAGCACAAAGTTGCTGATGATACTAGCCCAAAACAAAAAAAAGCAAAAGATTGATGCAGAAATTCAAACGATAAATGACACGGCACAAAAACAGAAGGAGGGGATTAACAACACACACATATAAAACAAATGAAAGGCATCAAGCAGGGCCGTTGAGAACACAGATTTTGACCACAGACCATTTTTCCTCCCACAGCTTTTTCCCTTTTACTTCATTAGCTGGGTTAGACTCCCCACACTGACAATGACCAGGGGGAGATATCAAAGTGACATTTTCCCTGTTGGAGTGGCAGGGCTGCACTGATATGAAGCCACTGGGATTGCTGCTTGGTTAGAGACCTCCCATGCCGCTCTGATTGCCTAGCAATGGGCTGAAAAACCTGTTGGGGTTATTAAAAGGTGCTGAAAAAACAAGTAATTTGTGGCTGTTGATAAGGAGGGAGGCTGGTCTACACTTTAATGAAGTATTGGGTTATAAGAATGATTGGAAAGAAATGTTTATGGACAGAGGAGGAAGGAGAGGAAAGTTAAGCAGACAAAGGTGAAGGAGACAGAAGAAGGGTCGGCTTAACAGTTGCACAGACTGTATAGTGCTTTTTTTACCTTTAATTGATAGCACATGTATGCTGCTATAATTATATTTACTGAAATGAATTTTCATAAACTATTTTTAAAAAGTAAGCTTGTGTTTATCTTTGGCAAACTTCTGCGCTTGATATGTTCCTACATAGAGATCCTACTGCAACTGAAACCTGTGCAAAACAAGTACACTTTCTTACTCTTTATTAGTTTACTTTTAATTTGCTCTAAATAATAGCACACCGTTGCAACTGGTAACTGGGACAGAGTTGTGTACTAGATACATGACAGGAAACTGAATACTGAAAAATAGACTGACCAGTTTTTTTTAAATTCTTGTCAAAGCTACTGACGATAATACACCAACATACAGAACTGTGCAAAAGTCTCGAGCCAACATTTGTTTTTTTATATTTTGAAGAATGGAAGAAAGCTTGAAGGCACAAGCAGAGTTTGTGCAAGTCGAACCACTTTGAGAGTTAATATTTGCTATGACTGCCTTTATTCTTCAACACAGCCTCAAGTCTCTTAGGGAAACTTTGTCATTTCTTTCAATAGTCTTTAGGAATAGTTCTCTGGGCTTCTAGAAGGACATTCAAAGCTCTTCATTGGATGTTGGCTCCCTTTTGTTCTGTTCTCTGTGCAGATGATCCTAAACTGTTTCAGTCATTTTTGGGGACCACATAGTGTCCCATCGACTGCTTACTGTCCCATTGTTTTGTTTTTTAACCAGGAATTCATTAACTCCATTGGCTAGTGTTTTGGATCATTGCCATGCCAATCAGATGCTTTGAAGATGATGCTACATGGATACATTGATTTAACAAAAAAAAAATCAATTTAGAACATAAGACCTGTTGCCACTGACTTTCAGTCCAGTTTTTGTGAAATTTGGCATACCTCAGCCTTTTCTCTCCAGTTCCCTTTCTTAATAATGGCTTCGTAACAACCAACCTTCCATTGAGACCACTTCTAATGAGGCTTCGGTGAACAGCTGACAGATCAACTGAAGGACAAGATCCATCTCTCAGGTCTTCACAGATTTTTCTTTCTTTTTCTTAAGGGCACACCTTTCAGATACTGTTCATCTGCTAAAGATGGTGTTTTAGGTCTGATATGTCTTTGCTATGACAATATGAGAAATCTTCTGCCACTAAGTCTTTGCAAATCATCTTGCTGGGGCACAAATATTATTTTATGCCCTTCAAACTGTGGTATCATTGCCATTTTTCATAGATTAAATGAAGCCAATGGAACCAGCTCATGTTTTTACAGGCTGCAAGTAACAAAGTGTCTAAATTGATTCTTTGCTAAATTATCTGTTATATGTAGACTAAAAACTCGCTCATTCCTTGAGTTTGGTGCCTGTTTTAATACTTGCATGAGTCAGAGGGCAGCGCAAAGCAAAAGACCTCCAGAAATCTGTGCTTAAGATCCCTTTAAAAATGACAAAAACGTGTGGCCCTGTTAATGCAAAATATAAACAAATGAGGTGCAGCTCAAGACTTTTGCACTCTAATGTATATGTTGTGTACAGATAACACAAAGAAGCAGAAGAGGTCCTTTTCCATACACAGAATGTAATAATTAGTCCATTTATTGAGTTTTCTGTATTTTTATGGAAATAGTTTCAAAAAAATGTTTACTTGTATTAGTATTTTAAAAAGCCACATACAGTAGGAAAAAAAGGTACACTGTATTAAGTTGCATTAGGGTAACTTTCCAGCTGAGCAAATCACATTTGCAGAACTGAATGTTCAAAGTCTAATGTTTGATCTCATATATTTTTTACTATGAAATGAGCCTGAATTAAAAAGCTTAGATTCCAAAGATACATTAAAATGATAATAAACATTACCCTGCTGTTTCTGATGCCTTCCGTAAGGGTACAGAGGTTGTTTATTATATAAAAGGAATCCTCCCTGAGGGCAGAAGCTGTTCGTAGCAAGTTCATAAAAATCACAGTTGTTGGTTTCAAAAGTATCTGTTTTATGCACTCAATTAAAAGTGAATCAAGCATTTCAAATACAAAGCAGCCCCTCAGAACTCTTCCTGAAGCAAAATTGACAATTCAAATTGAGGCCTCCAGGTAATCGGGATTAGTATTGGAACTCTATTGATGTGCGTTAGAGTTTTAATCTATCCACAGTTCTGTTATTTAAAGACAACCTTGATAATACAAAAGACTGTACAGACCAATGAGCAGACAAAGGGAGAGAGAGAAATGATCCATTGGGAAGTCGGCTGGCATGCAAAGCTTGAACTGATGAGTTTCACACATGCTTGAGAGCCAACAAACTCCAGCTCGGAGGTGGTGCTGTCTAATTGGTTTTATCCCATCATGAACTGTGAGGGTCCAGCAGATGTTTGGGATCATCAGTGTCAACAACTCATTAAAAACTTAGCATTACAAAAAAGATTCAAAGGAACACTGGCGAGACTGTCTAAACGTACACTACATCTCTCGTTATTGGTGGCTAGCTGGTGCAATGTATCAAAGAATGCTGGAGCTCATTGACTTTCAAATGTGACAGGCTGAATGTGTTTTTCCTCCCGCTGAGTCACCGGGCCTTGTTTACTGATGAGGCTTATGAATCAGTTTCTGGTTTGAACGAAAGGAGCAGGACTGCAGGAAGCCCTGAGACACAGCCTGACAGGAATCATTCCTGCTAAAGCCAGTGAGTTAAAGAACTCTGTGTGAGCACCAGATGAGACAGGAGCCCTATATTTGCACAATAACATCACCAACCAATAAGAAACTGGGGGAAAGAAATAGCTGCAGCAAAGACTGATTGATAGTAGACAGCAAAGCTATTTAAATTTGCAATGGTTTTAATAAAACAACAGTACTGTTTTTTACATAATGACAATGGTTTGATTTATGTACCACCATTCATATAGACTTATTGTATTTAACACTGGAGTATTTGTAATTCCTAACCTTTTTTTTTGCAGATGAGCTTAACTATCCTTTTACTGACATCACACGCTATGTTCCAGATTACTTAATTAATAATTAAAATGTATTAAACTAATCTTTGCCAAGTAAATGAACTGTTTCCTATATAGCATTTTTCTACTCTACCTCAACTCTAAGCACTTTATACAACATGCCTTACTCACCCATTTATACAAGTGCTTTTTACTTTAATATACTTAAGCACTTTGTAGCTAACATTCACACTCATCAGAGAGAAACTAGGTGTTTGGATCTTGCACAATGATATATGCCAAGCAAACTAGAGCAGCCAGGGATCGAACCACCAACCTTCCAATTAGTAGAGCCCTGTCCTACCTCCTGAGCTACAGCCAGAAGGTACAGGCAAGCACCCTGGCTGTGGTAAATCACTGGCTAGTTTATAGCATACCGCACTGCTGTCTATTTATTTCCATTTATCTGGGTCTGGGTCCCAGGGACAGCAGTCTAAATCCCCCTTTTCCTTTCCTCCTGTAGCTCATCTGTGGGAACACCAATTTGTTCCCAAGATAGACATCAAATTGTAATCTCTCCAGCTCGTCCTGGGTCCTGCTTTTAGGCGTCGTCCTGGTAGGAAATGCCTGAAGCATCTCACCCTACGAGGCACATGAGTCAAATGGCCGAACTACCTGAGCTGGTTCCTTTAGATGTGGAGGAGTAGAAGTTCTACTCCGTCTCCTCAGAGGAACCTCATTTTCACCACTTGCATCGGTGATCTCATTCTTTCGGTTACTACTCAGAGCTTTTGGCCATAGGTGAGAGCAGGAATGTAGATCAACAGGTAAAACGTTAATATTTTCCAAACTAAATTCAGAAATTTCTAGCCTAATTCTAGCAGCTAAACAAAATTGTAGATGGGGCCTCGTATGATGCTGTCTCTAATTACTTGCGTTCTGTTTTTCCAAAACACTGCATAAATGCATCACTGATTTGTTGTTTTCTTAGGTAATCCAGTTAGAGTCCTTTCCTTTTTTTCGTC